ACCTCACTCATGTGCACATCTACCATTAGCCATTGAAGGACATACAGCTCTCAACAATGGGAGTGCATACCGAAGGACATACAACTCTCAACGGTATGGCCTATCATTAGGACTTAGGGAGATTGCCACACAAGGGCATCGTTGAAGGACATAAAACTCTCAACGACGGGGACAACCGTTCGAAGGACATACAGCTCACAACGAAGATTACACAAATTCACATGCAAGCAGTGATCATACTAACCCAACAACAAATAAATTATTTACGGCATAACAATTTAAATAAGACCCACCTGGTGTCAAATGATAAAGCAAATAACCGAAAAGTCGTAGGTGGTTGAGACACTGCTGGTCTGACACCTACATAAGTCAAGACAGTCCCATAAGCACCTATCTCGACTCTTACACAGATAACGAGAATTATACTTAGTCGAATCACATTGACTAAGAAACTCATGAAGTTGTAGAGTTGGAACATTAGGACGACTTCTAGACTCGACCAACCAACTAATAAATCATATAAAAGTAGGTAATGAAGATTTTACACAAAAATGGGGTCAACGAGTCAAGCAATTGCCAACAAGGCCAAAAACAGTTAAAAAATATCTAGTTCAAAATCATAAGAATCAGACCATATGAGGTTAGGCTTGGAATTTCAAATTCAAATTTTTACAGTATATAAATTGCTGAAAATCACACATTATAACCAAAGGAAAGCCCCTAAACATGCTTCTAACCATTTTAAGTAATTTAAGTAAAATCTAACCAGAAATCAAATTAAATCATTTAAAATAGCTACAGTCTGAATTTAAATTTGAAATTTTTATCACAGCAAGATATCATGAAGAGAAGCAACGTATCCAAAAATTAGTCATTGTAGATAAGAAATCGATTTTATATAAATTTATTACAAAACAACCCAGAAATAATTTTCGAGTTTTGATAAGGCTACAGCTCACATAAAAATCTCAAATTTTAATCACAAGTAATATAATAGCAATATAAACACATATCCAAAAATCAGAATTTTTGGAGCAATACACGAATTATGGTGATTTTAACAAAAACCGGCTGCAGCAAGTTTTTCAAAAATTCATATCTTACAATATACACATCGAAACGACGCGAGCCCAAAGCCATTGCGTCAAGGACATTCCTAAGTCCAATAATCCACAACACTTCCACAGAAAATACTACATTAACCTCAGCTCGATAATTTTCCAAAGTGACGACAATCACTTTGGCATCCAATTGGCAATTACATATCAAAATTCACCCGAATATATATCCAACGCACATAATTAACTCGAATATCATACGTTCAGAAAATTAACACGTGTACGAGCACTTAAACACATATATGAGCGAAATAAA